GTCTCTCAAACATATAATATACTTAGTTGAGAATTATGATGTTGTTAATGTGAGTGATGAAAACAATTATTTTACACAATCTTGTGAAGTATACCTTATGTATGCTACCTGCTGCAGACTTTTTTCAAAGGGTATATTATTGAAGATTTAATTGGATTTGTCTTTTTTCAAAAACATTTCAAGTTAACAATTAGCAAAACTATCAAGAACAAGTTTCTATACGGCTGAGTATGATCTTTGACATGGTCAATGTTGCTGGAAATTAAAGAACGACACACGATTCCAATCTAAGTACAAATTCATACACAGATAAGCTTAAATACAAAATAGCAGAGTTATATGTAATGATATCTTGGAAAAGTATAAACAATTGACTAGTGAACACTACGTGTTTGGGGATGTATAAACAAACTACAGGGCTCTGTTTAGTTTAAATACATTACTTCTGTGACATTATTCCCCTGAGCCTGGGTGAATTGGCATGCTCTGCTCTCTAACGCCATTGAAATTAACAGTGCTGAGCACCTAGTGAAGCACGGATGACATAGGGATGGAACTGGGTGAATCAGAGCTATAGCATTTTTCTTTATCAAATCAATGTTTGATAAAAGAAAGCAAATACGGCTTTTCATTAAAAATACTGGGTCTTTCCAAATAATTCAAAATGCAAGAAAAACAATTGAAAAACCTTTTGGAAATAATGTACCTCTTCAATACATGTACAGGCCAAGTCATTCCATTTTACAAAAATATCATATGAAGAAAAAACTCTACTATGTATATTATAAATCTGATTAAAATGTTATGTAGGAGTTCGATTTTTTTAATGGGAGATGGGCAAATTTGTTAAGGAGAAAAATATCAATAAGAATTATTATCAAATTTACTTTTGGGAAACAAAATAAATGTCAAAAGTGGTATCCCAACACAAAAAATTCCTACTAATTTACATGGGTTAGGTATATTGACTGCATAACATTATCATGAACTACATGAACAAGGAATGTTATTTCCCAAAAACTTTTATTGTTTAGGGATCAGTTTTCTTATTAAAAATATTTGTGTGTGTGTGTGATGTCTTATTTACGTGTATGTGTTTTTTAGGGCTGTATCAATATATCGAATAATCAATATGTATCGATATTCAAGAATATATCGTATCGAAAAATAACTTCCAATATGTATCAGACAGGCAGATTTTCTTTTAATTCTGTGAAAAAAGATTGGAATTTCAATCTCCAAAGGTGATATTTTTCACTGTTTTGAATTAAAATTGATCAATAATGATATAATCATTAAGGAGATAGCACATCTTAGATAAATATTATAAAATACATAGACAACTTTATCTAACATGTTTTTTTTCACAGTCATTAAAAGTTTGAATTTGAAGTGTAATTTGTTATGACAGTGAGACAAGAACTTCGAAATGGGATATAAAACAATTAGTTTTTATAAAATTCATGCATTAAATGAATTATAAGACTTTTTTTAGACTTTTTTTTAAAGAATCCAATACATCGGATATCGCATAATAAAATATCGTATCGTATCTTTTTTTTTTTTTTTTGCTCAATACACAGCCCTAGTGTTTTTCTTAAATCATGGACATGGACCCCCCTCCACCCCAACAAAATAAATAAATAAATAAAATAAAAACAAGCAGTCTCATTGCTGCTATGCACAACATTTGATAACATACACTGGATGTCATAGAATTTCTAATTTTCTCAAATAATAATGATAATTATGACTACATACTTGATTGGTATAGGATCCTTCTCAGTAACGAACTGCTGCTGCAACAGGTGTCATGACCGGATAGATTACACTGAAACCAAAGGCAGCACATTAGTTTATTTATCAAAACAATAAATTTCGCATTCATAATTTACTGTTATTTAGAAGTGTCTAATCTAGCATTTCAATAGGCTATGATAACTTTGAGAAAGTTATTGATTACATCTTTTATTTCCATTTTTTATGCAAACAATACACGGAATACATGATTTATCATACATTTAAATAAATATTTGCATATATACCTTGATACATCCTCAATAGTGAGGGACTGCAACATCCTGTTTTTTATCCAGCAAAGTAGTTTTTCTGTTTCATGACTATACTCTAAGTTGAAATCGAGAACATGGGTTTGCTATGTTTGAGTGATCCACATGCCAAAAGTCTGATAACACACCCACAATCATTTCAGTGTGGAATGTCTTGATTGACACTTCTTCAAACAGTGGCACGGTGTTTCCATTCAAATATGTAGGTCAACTGCACATGAAGAGCTTGCTTTAATTGACTAACAGGAATAGTATTCATCAGAAGACAGTGTACTGTAGTTTGATTGAATGGGGAATTCAGAAACGGAGAAATTGACAATGATATACCTGTGTATTATACTGTGATACGGTCAAATAATTATTCTTGTTCAAGCACTTGATGTATGCGATGAAGATTTGTATGAACAAACTTGGCCGGGATACATATCAGTAGAGACACATCTCTGTAATATTATTTGATTTTCAATTAAATGAGTGGATATTCAGCCAAATAAAAATGATTGGTCATTTACATTTGAATCTCGGATGAAATAAACTAGAAAAGCTAAGGGTAAGGATACTTAGTTTCAATTTTTATCATTTCATAAATATTAACAACAATTTTTAATATTTAAGAAAATTTTCATTGTTACATTTCTTTTTATTTTAATTTTTATGTGTATGGGTAGAAATCATTGTTTTATATGGCAGCTTTATATCAAATCGGTGAAAATTTATATGGGTTCAGGAGAATACAGTATAACTTTTTTGATTGATTGATGGTTGTAGTTCTGAATGTCTCTTGGAGGGAAATGTCACTTGTATGAGAGGTCACCTGATGCTGGTGAAGACTTCAAATTTAGACCTTTACTTATTCGCAGGATACTCAGGGCAATTGAACAGTAAAGGTTCTCTGGCATGCAAACACCTCAGACACGGTGCGCCCGTCGAGGTCTCATTTGAAAGACCTGCAACTTAAAATTCAAAGTACCAAACTTTTGTGAAGGAACAGTTTCTACCTATATTCCTTTTATCATTTTTGTAACCAGGGCACAAACCCGAGATCACAGAGAGAAAGCTCTACCGACTAATCGAGCTACATGACAGTACTTTACATACACTGTATTCTCTCCCAGTTCCCTTTGCCATATGAAATTAAGGCTCATAAATCACAAACCGCATTTTGCTTTACTTAAATTGCAGGTTTGAATCTTTAAAATGATAAATGATATTTATATTTACAAGCAATATGTGAAAATCCAGGATTTTTTTTTTTTTTCAAGGGGGGGGGGGGAGGGTTGTTCCACACCCTACACAAGAATGTACATGTAGGCCTAAATATAGCTCTTTTTTCAGTGTTCCCTTTCCTACAAGAAAATATCTATTAATTCATAAGTTAACGGGAATCTTTAATGATAGATGGAAAAGAACCATATGATTGACACAGCACTCAAATAATTATATACATTTAAAATATTTCTTTATACTTGATCCAGAAGAATTACAAATGGTGAACCATGAATGAACCATGTCTTGCTGTACAGGAAATGCAAATTGATTATGAAATCTCTGCACTCTGTCGCTTTAAAATTATTGTAGTTAAAGTGCAGAAAAACCACCACATTTACAAAAAAGGTTTTAAATTCATCAATTTTCTACCTTCTCAAATAGCATCACTTAAAGAATCCCATATACTTGAAGACACATTGACCAACATCTTTTTCTCAGTTTCCTACAAACTATATATATATTTTTTTTTTTTGATAAATTTTAAGCAGACAATATCTTTCTTTGTCCAGAGAAGTTTCATCCTTGATGTTTGATCTTGTGATCTTAATATCAACAGGAGTCATCTACTCCTTAGGGGATACCAGCGTACTTTCTTTCTCAAATCCGCTGTTTTCATGTAAAAAGAGGTTAAATTTAAAATGGGAAGAGGAACGTTTGTTATGTGTTCAGGTTTATGAAGCCAGTGTCTACAGATAGGAGAGGAACGTTCCTCTAATGAAGCCAGTGCCAACAAATAGGAGAGGAACGTTCCTCTTATGAAGCCAGTGTCAATAGGAGAGGAGCGTTCCTCTTATGAAACCAGTGTCAATAGGAGATGAACGTTCCTCTTATGAAGCCAGTGCCAACAAATAGGAGAGGAACGTTCCTCTTATGAAGCCAGTGCCAACATTTAGGAGAGGAACGTTCCTCAGATTCATTGGGTTCAGATTCATGTATATATTGTTAATATTTTAAAATGGGAAGAGGAACGTTCCTCAAATGTTCAGTGTATTTAGATTGATGTTTGTTGTATCATTGATTAGAATTGGTAGAGGAACGTTCCTCAGATATAATCTGTATTAGGGTTTATATATATAGTATGTATTATCAATTGAAATTGATAGAGGAACGTTCCTCGTATAGCATTGTATATACAAACACATATTTATTATAAGCAATCTGAAATAAAAGAGGAACATTCCTCAAATACAGTTTTTGTGCATAGAACCAAGAAGACAACAAGGAAGATTTCTGATGAAGAGGAACGTTCCTCCCTTAAATTGCACTTAAAGTGGCAATTTTCTCAAAAAGCTCCCTGGTAGAGGCTCAATTATTGACTTTTAGACCATTTTCGACTTCAGATTTGAAAAAAAAGGAATTTTGATTTTCTCTTTTTGATTTGGATTGTGTTTGTTTAACATGTAATTTTTGGAGGCTTCCATACCAACGAATGAAATTGAAATTTAGCTGATCCCGTCTAAATTGTGACGTAAGCGGTCCAATATCTCAATCACGAGTCCAATCTCTCACTCTGTGGTCAAACATTGATTTCTTTATGACCGCTCAGTAAAACATTAGAAATGTTGGACTTTTTTGGTATACATTTAAATAGGAACTAATTTTTTAAAGGTATAACAATACTACGTTCTTCAGTTACACTCATTGTTAATCTTATTTCAATAGAATGTGGAAATGGAACATATGGAGATACATGTATAGAGAGATGTGGGACTTGTATTGGTTTAAAGCAATGCCATCACATCAATGGGTCATGCCCTGATGGGTGTGAAGCTGGATATCAAGGGGAACTTTGCCAAAATGGTATCACATTAATTGCTTTTTTAATGTATATTCACATTTTCAGCATAGGATTAGTCAAAAATTCACATTAGATCAGAAAAAAAAATGATAACCTGTACATATTATATTTTAAGAATCATTTTTAAATTATAAAAGGTTGTTCGAGCGGAAAATTTGGTATTAACTGTGATGAAGACTGTAATGAGAATTGTGCTGAACCCTATAAATGTAATGGAACGACTGGAGAATGTGAGGGCGGATGTCAGCCTGGTTGGGAAGGACTTCAGTGCAAAGATGGTATTATGTAGTTGCAGAAATAAAAAGAATAATTTTTTTACGCCTATCCAAACTTATCCTACCCACACACAACAACAACAACAACAACAAAAATAAATAAATAAAAACAAAAATTTTCTGAAAGGTTGTCAATGAAAATGAGCAAGATGACCTTCAGCATTTAACGCCTCATGTATTGAACCCTGACCTTGTAAAGCAAATTTACTTACTCGATATATTAAATTCAAAAATCCATATTTCATTTCTAATCCAAATTTCTAAGTTTGCAGAGAAAATATGTATGGTAAATACTGTACTATTTTATGCGGATTCTGCCGCTACTCCACATGCCACCACGTGAATGGATCCTGTTTCGGAGGATGTGCAAAGGGATTTCATGGGGCTCTCTGCAACAAAGGTAATATACTCTTCCCCTCTCTGATGAGAGAGAGAGAGAGGGGGGGATTAAATTGTCCCTACATACAATGTATGTAGATTTACAATCCATATTCTATTTCATAGCTTGATAGAAAAGAAAGAAAATATAAGCATCTAGCTAGATATGCTTATAAACATTCCTTGTGGTTTATCTATTCATGTATTTATTAAAGCATGTAAAGCAGGATTTTATGGAGAAGACTGCATAGAGGAATGCAGTCCTTTCTGCAGGACACCACGTGACTGTAACCATATGACTGGGCATTGTAACAAGGGATGTATTGGCGGATGGCAGGGTGTGAAATGTTTGGAAGGTCAATGTTTGTAGTTAATATTTATGTAGGCACTGTAACATATGTTATTTTGTAAATGCATGAAACCAAAATTTAAACTGATATATCTTTTCTTTTATATGCAATTTCAGAGAAATCGGTAAATTTGCAGTGTTCGTCACGATTCTACGGTGTTCTTGCAGCTCTATGCGTCAGTATAACAATAATCATTGTCCTGCTAGTCTTCACATATATTAATAGGTAAGCTTTTTTTTTTAAATCTTTTTTATATAAGGTATATAAATGTATTTTAAAGTTCTAAGGATTTTATACCTCAATATTTCTTTTTTCACTAGGAAAATTAATTACCGATCACAACAAATGCATTTTAAGTTCTAAGGATTGAATATCTTAATATTTCTATTTTTTTCCTAGTAAAATTAATGACCAATCACTAAATTCATTGATTTAAAAAGAAATGTATAACTTAAGATCTTTTGGTACATTACTTTTCAAAACCTAATTGTTCATACTGATGATAATATCATGATATTAAGATATATTATATTCAGATTTATTTATCTATTCATATTTTATGTATAACTTTAGAAGAAGGGCCAAAGAAATATACAAAAAGCAGAATGTGACAAACGACATAGAGGTTATGACAGGAAAATTGGATCTCCAAATGATTTCTGGTACAACAGTCGAGGATGAGAGCAGCAAATATCAAGAGCTTGGGGAATTGTCGCTGTCATCAGATTATGACCATCTTCGATAATCCTCTTCTGCACTTATATACACTATGAAATAAAACAAATTGCTTTTAATGGAGTCCAAAGAATAAAAATGGAAAGGCAATGGTTAAGACATATACATACATGTAAAAGGCAATATTTATGGTTTTCGTACCCCCTCCTTTACTAAGACGGTTTAATGAAAATCTGATTGTTTGTGAATATTCTACTAATTGATATTTTTATATCACTGAAAGGAGATAGAGATATTTAATGCAAGCATATGCTATATAATCAACGTTTATTGTGACATCATTTCATAAAATAAATAAAAGAAAACAATTGACTTTTTTCACAGTGACGTAATGAGAAGTCGATGTATTCAGCATATTCAATTTTTGGCTGTGACGCTTGAAAAAAAAATGTTTTCATGTGTTTAAAAATTCAATGCGCAAATACATTTTTTATAAAACAGTCACAAATGTGAATATAAGTAATGATTTATCATTGATATTCATTTAAGAGATGATAGGGGATCGGTCATTATTAAATTAACAATAAAGACCATAAAAATTAGATTTGATCAATTCACATTGAAACCCGTATTTACATCACAAGGGTTTTAAAAGTATAACTTATTTCATAAAGTATGTAAAAGGTAAAGATGTGTGGAAAAATGCTCTTTCCATTTGATAAGTTTAGACCAAAAAAAGAGTTATCTGGCTTAGTACCATAAGAAGCATTTATAGCTACATATATTCCATCCATCATTCTATGCCGAAATTTTTAATACCTGAAATTAACATGCATATGCTGGCTGTACAAACAACAAATCAAAACTAAAACTGTTTAGCTAATGAACTTTTCCAAGAAGCGCTGACTTTTACAATCGAGAGTTGACGATTACACTAGGACGGTATACGGAAGCTCCTTTGGGATGAAAATATTTAGCTTAACAGTTAATTAAACAATAATAACTACAACTATGAACTGTTATGTAGCTAAGCTAAAAGCATTGCTGGTGCTGGTTTACAAAAACAAAAGAGGTGGGGGAAAATCAATTTCAGTATATTTACTTGTCACTATGGCACGTATATCTAAAAGCTGTTAGCCACAAAAAATTGCTAAAAAACAAGTGCAATTTAAAAGCTATATACACAATAGTAATAAGCATATCTAGCAATGTGCAAATATCTCTGGGGCAGAAACATTGCCTAAATAAGCGAAATCATCGCCAACAATGCAATGGGGCCATAACATTGCCCAAATAAGCAAAAATGCATCGCCAAAAATGCAATGGGGCAAAAACATTGCCCAAATAAGCAAAAATGCATCGCCAATAAAGGACTAGTCACGAACAAATACGAGTATAGAAAAATGCAGCCATGTTAATTAAATGACTGAAACTAAGACCCCATAACTAGTCATAGCGCAGCCATGGCCCAAACTCTCCCTGTGTTGGTGAAACCTTTAATTTAGGGTTTGAAAGGAAAGCCTGCAACCCTTGTTGTAACCTATATAAAATATATTGTTTCCCAAATCTGAGCGGTGTACCTCGTCACCCAAAAACATATGTGGACAATCAGGGCGAATCTCAGGGTACCTAATATATCCCCCCCCCCAAAGCCTTTATTAAAAATGTTGCAACACTGCTATTGAGGCGCTTTCTTATCTTCTCCATAACTTGCTGGTTAATGCCCTCCCTCCAATGTAGCCTAGGCAAAATTTGAGACCAAACTATGATTGTTGAGGGCAACTGTTGCGCCAGTTTTTGTAGGGTCCTAATTATCTGAAACCTTAAATCTACTGACTTACCTCCTCCGGGAACAGATATGTTGTTACCCCCACAATGAATAACTAAGAAGTGAGGAGGGTCGTAAATCCTTAGCAAGGTCCTGATCTTAGGGAAAACTTCCCACCATTTCATCCCCCCTTTCCCTGCCAGAGAATGGATGCATGTTGTCTCTCTATCTCTAGATTAGCACGGAAACTAGATTTCCTTGCATGACAAAAAGCTCTCTTTATTATAGATGAGCCAACCACCCATATTCTACGCTCTTAATAAAGAAACAGAAAGAAAACACAAATGCGAAATGTTTACAAACATGCAACAAAAACAAACTTACCCAAGCTTGCACTGGTACCTAGACATGTGACACTTAAAATGTACTCATTTCTCTATATACAACTCGTCTACTTCCAAATGTGCCTAAACATACAACGAGACTTCCATCTACCATGTGCGAGATGTCTTGCACACTAGTGCCATTATCCCATGCATTGGAGGTCGCCCCAATGCGAAATGAATGAGTTTTGTAAAATTCTTTATCTAAACTTAATTATTGCTGAATGACTCTCAGAAATACAGATTCAACTTCATATCGTGTAGTTGGTAAGCCAGAAATATGACAGAAGAAAGCCTCTGGGAAATTTGGTCTTGCATGCATATATGTTTGCAATATTTGAATTGGGCAAACTTGTCCCTGAGAGGAAGACAATTGAACTGTTGTACCCTTACCCTCCTGATCCGTTTTAAAATGCCTCAATAGCATGACAGTTGATTTATTGCTTCCTACGCAAACATCACCCATTTGAATAGCATGACCGGGTTTATCTCTGGAGTTTTGCACAAGCTCTATCATTCTGAAGAAGCCAAAAAGGCCGTTGAGAAAACTGCACTAAACATCATGGATTCATATGTCAACAGGCACATTTTTGGCAGTATAACAATCATGCTTACTAGTATGTCTAAAGTAATGGGTTTGCTTGTGTCTATCCTAGCATTAGCCTTACTCCATCCCAAGAGCATCTTATTAAGAATAAATGATTTGATTGTGTCTTGAAGACCATTGATCTTACAAAAAATTGATATTCCCGCTATGTAAGCTCTTACTGTACTTAGGGCAAAGTGCCTGTATGAAAGATAGGCCACAAAATTCACTAAGTCCTGAGTAACTGTGGGTCAGAGCTCATCACGCTGGTACAGCGAAATGAATTAAATTGACTAACTGAAGCTATGTGCAGTTTTTAGTGCATTCAGACACTGAACAACTTAGCAACTCTTCAATTCTTTGTTGTAGATTATATGTATGAAGGAGGCAGGGATTGCTGTTGGTAGTGGATCGGCCTCTGAGAAGTAGCACCACCCTAACAAAAAAATACTATAGTAAACTATAGTTAACTATAGTTTACTATAGTTAACTATAGTACCAAAGTAAAAACTTTGGAACTTTGATTTACTATAGTGAAAACTTTGGAACTTTGATTTACTATAGTAAAAACTTTGGAACTTTGATTTACTATAGTGAAAACTTTGGAACTTTGATTTACTATAGTAAAAACTTTGGAACTTTGATTTACTATAGTGAAAACTTTGGAACTTTGATTTACTATAGTAAAAACTTTGGAACTTTGATTTACTATGGTGAAAACTTTGGAACTTTGATTTACTATAGTGAAAACTTTGGAACTTTGATTTACTATAGTTAAAACTTTGAAACTTTGATTAATTACGATAAATCCCGTGGAATTATGTTTTTGATTCCCATTCTTTACATTTTATGATATTTCAAGTTTTAGATTCATAAAAGCTTTAGAGAACATTTTGAAAACCCGACCCCTCCCCTAAAAGAATAATGTACAAGATATGAATTTCAATGTAAAGGTTGTCGCTTGCGCCGATTAATAAGCAATATTTATTTTAATGTTTTTAATTTTAATGTTATGCAGATGTAACGTAAGTTTTGTTTATGGGGAAAAATAATATATTATAAAAATTTTGTGTCATTAAGAATCAAAATATCTGCTTCATCAACTTCAGTCAACATGTATTTTTTTTTTAATTATAAATGTAAATATTGCATTTGAATTAACTACTTTGTATATTTAGATAAAGATGTACAACAAAAACCAGCCCCAACCAACCCCATATCCACCCCTTCCCCTAAAACGTCTAAATAATAATAAAAAAATAATAAAAGTAAATAAGTTGTTAAACTAATGAAAAAACTTTGAAACTTTGATTAAGTATAAGGAAAACATTGAAACTTTAATTAATTATAGTAAAAACTTTGGAACTTTGATTTACTATAGTAAAAACTTTGGAACTTTGATTTATTATAGTGAAAACTTTGGAACTTTGATTAACTATAGTAAAAACTTTGAAACTTTGATTTACTATAGTGAAAACTTTGGAACTTTGATTTACTATAGTAAAAACTTTGGAACTTTGATTTACTATAGTGAAAACTTTGGAACTTTGATTTACTATAGTTAAAACTTTGGAACTTTGATTTACTATAGTGAAAACTTTGGAACTTTGATTTACTATAGTTAAAACTTTGGAACTTTGATTTACTATAGTGAAAACTTTAGAACTTTGATTTACTATAGTTAACTATAGTAAACTATAGTTAACTATAGTTTACTATAGTATTTTTTTGTTAGGGCACATTGTTGCAGTGACTTTGACTTCTTATCACCCATTCAAGGAAAGTTGAAAATTCCTCAAAGGTAGCACAGCTTATCGAACATCCAAATGGCAGACACTTGTCTATAAATATCTTGTCTTTAATTTTGTAACCTAGTAATTCAAAATCAGATGGGTGAACTGGTAATAACCGAAAAGCATTCTTAATTTCTTACCGTGATCTGAGAGCCTCCCTGCCCAGATAGGCCAACATTTCTAAGGCCTTATCAAAGGAGATATACTTGACTGAACAATACTCGTGATCAATGAAATCACTGACGCTTTTTCCTAGGGGCAGAATAAATGGTGAATAAGTCAAAATGTGCAATCTTTTTAGGCACCATGCCAACTGGGGATAATCTTAGGTTAGGCAAGGGGGATTTATCAAAAGGGCCAGCCACTCTTCCCAGGGCAAAGATACTGTTGCATGAGGATGAGGATGAGCTAATGCATGAATCGTCGAAAAAATAAGAAAGGCGTCTATCCATACTTGTATGTCTGTAATGGGTTTGGCTTTAGACTTAGTCGTGACTACAAGATTACCATCTTTTAAAGAAAAATATATGGTTTCATCATTGGGGTCAGTTTCTGCGACATTACTAAGCAGTGTACCTAATTAATGTACTCGCCATTGGCATTCTTAATTTTTACATTGTTTGGGACATTATGTCCCAGCTCATTTTCATAGCTGGGTACAGCAGCCCCAAATGTGCTAGAAATTTTTGTATCACCTGACGTTTTGTCCAAATATGACGTAATGTCCTTTTAATGCTGGAAGGCTGGTGTTAACAGGTAGTTGATAATGGTCATGTGCTGGAGGATC